CCGCTCAAACCGCGCCCCGCCCACTCATTACGCGCCGTCAAGAAGCGAGTCGCGCCCGGTGACGTCACCAGCGCGCGCCCTCGCCGCTGCCGTCCTCCAGACACGTGAGTCCGGAGGTCCCAACTTCTCCGCTAGCCGTCTGCCCGGTACCTCCGGTTGCTCGGATCCCGAGGCCTACGGCGTCACAGGCTCTGCGACATGTCGATGCTGGCTGAGCGTGAGTGTTGGGCGCGGAGGCCCGACTAGGGCGCCAGGGTGAAGGCTCCGGGTGACGCGCCGGAACCGGACCCAGTAGCAGGGGGTGCGGGTCACTGGCGCTCAATGAGGTGGAGGATGCCGGGGCCCGAGCACTGGGAAGCCCGGGTCGGTTTGCCCTGCCTGCCGCGGAGATTTCCCAGCCCAGGCTCTCCCCCAAAGTTAGCTACCCGTCTGCTAGTGAAAGAGCCCGCGAGGGTCCCGTTCAGAGCTGGGCACGCGCGCGGTGGGTGTGAATGAGAATCAGGACACCGAACTGGTTCTTTTCACTGCCCTGAGCCTCAGCTTCCTCGGGTTAGAAAGAGGAGGCTAGGCCGGCAGAATCTCCTCAGGCATTGGCATCCCATTCTGGAAGATGTATTGAACCCAGAAATTTAAAAGCAAAGGGATTAGAAGTATCAAAGACGTCAAGTATCCCTTTTTAGGGGGTGCAGGGCTAAGTAAGACTGGCAGCTTTGACTTTGTTGTAATTAGCACTCTTCCATGACAGGAGTGTTAGCCGAGATGCCTCATCCTGCCTCAGTTTGCCTTTGACATTTACCGTCATTTTGTGAAATTCATTAATAGATGTGTAACTTCGGAATGGTACCTGTAGCTAAGGTGGCCTGCCACCAGAGAGCAGTCGTGCTTTGGTAGTAACTTTGGAAGTGTATAGTGAGCAATGAATAGAAGCAGCTTACTTAATAGACCAATAGCAACGACCCCGGGATTTTGTGAAGTAAATGCTGTCAGCATCCTATCTAAGGGGATGGAGGAATGTGAGCACAAAACGAAACGGGTTAGGCTCCACTCCAGCTTACAGGAGCAGGAATTAAGGTTCAGAGAAAAATAATTCACCCCAAGTCATTGAGCTAGAAATTAACAAAATTGACCTAGTTATCTCTGTATCTTTACATTCTTGCTACTAGGACTAGCAGTTTTCTGTTTTTAAATAGGGACTCATCGTGTTGAATATGTTTTAGATGGTGACCTTAGAGTCTAGATAGATCTCTGAGGTCTCTTCTGGTTTTAATATTCTTTGATATGTGCTTAATTCAGTATGCACTGGGGAACATTGGCCCTGGCTCTGCTATTCATTTATATCTCTTTCTGTGATTAGGTTCTGTGGGGCTTTTAAAAACTTCATTTATTATCTTCATCACTAGGTTGGTTTAAAAAATCAAAGAGATGGTGAATGTGAAAATAGTCAAAAGTATGAAGTGGTATACTGGTGTAAAGTCTATTGTAGACATCAGTAATTAAAATTGCATGATTTTAGGGGAATATTTTCAGTTCCCTCTGCACCATGACTCCAAATTTTCAAATCTTTGTCATGATAATATGTTGTCTTTTTAAAATTTTTGCTAAATTATTTTTTTAAATTATACAGGTTTTAAGTGTACAATTCTACGATACATCATCTATAAATCGTATTGTGAGTTCACTGCCCAAAGTCAAGTCTCCTTCTGTCACCATTATCCCCCCTTTACCTTCTACCTCCCCTGACCTTCCTTTCCCTCTGGCAATCACCATACTGTTGTCTGTGTCTATGAATTTTTGTTTGTTTGTTTTTTGGCTTAATCCCTTCACCTTTTTCACCCAGCCCCACAATCTCTCTCCCCTCTGACAGCTTTCAGTCTGTCCTCTGTATTTATGAGTCTGTTTCTGTTTTGTTTTTTAGTTTATTTTGTTCCTTAGATTCCACATATAAGTGAAATCACATGGTATTTGTCTTTCTCTGAATGGCTTATTTCACTTAACATAATACTCTTCAGGTCCATTCATGTTGTCACAAAAGGTAAGATTTCCTTCTTTTTTATGGCCTAGTAGTATTCCGTTGTATAAATATAGTACAGCTTTTTTATCTACTCGTCTACTAGAGGACACTTGGGCTGCTTCCAAATCTTGGCTATTGTAAATAATGCTGCAGTGAACATAAGGGTGCATATATTTTTTCAAATTAGTGTTTTTAGTGTCTTGAGATATATTCCCAGAAGTGAATCACTGCTCTGGATCATAAAGCAGTTCCATTTTTAATTTTTTGAAGAAACACCATACTGCTTTCCACAATGGCTTCACCAGTCTGCATTCCTACCAATAGTATATGAGGGTTCCCTTTTCTCCACATCCTTGCCAACACTCGTTTGTTGACTTATTGATGACAGTCATTCTGACAAGTGCGAGATGATATCTCATAGTGGTTTTAATTTGCATTTCTCTGATGATTAGTGATGGTGAGCATCTTTTCATATATCTGTGGATCATCTGTATGTCCTCTTTGGAGAAGTGTCTAGTCAGGTCCATTGCCCATTTTTAATTGGATTATTTGTTTTTTTTGCTGTTGAGTTTTTTAAGTTCTTTATAAATTTTGGATATTAACCCCTTATCAGATGTATCATACAGTTCTCAAGATTACTGTGGTTATTTATGGTCTTTTGTGGTTCCATATAAATTTTTGGAATATTTGTTCTAGTTTTGTGATATACTCCATTTGTATCTTGATAGGAATTACATTGAATCTGTAGATTGCTTGAGGTAGTATGGACATTTTAATGATGTTAATTCTTCCAATCCATGAGCAGGTGTTCATTCTTCCAATACATGGTATATGCTTCCACTTATTTGTATCTTCTTCAGTTTTTTTCTTCAGTGTTTTACAACTTTTCAAGTACAGGTTTTTTATATCTTTGGTTAAATTTATTCCTAGGTATTTTATTAAATTTTTGATGCAATTATAAATGGTATTGTCTCCCTTTCTAATAGTTCATTATTATATATAAAAATGCAGTAGATTTCTGGATATTTATTTTGTATCCTGCTACTTTACTGAATTCATTTATCAGTTCTAGTAGTTTTTTGGTGGAATCTTTAGGGTTCTCTATGTAGTATCATATCATCTACAAATAATGACAGTTTTTCTTCTTCCTTTCCAATTTGGATGCCTTTTATTTATTCTTCTTGTATGATAGCTATGGATAGGATTTCCAGTACTATGTTGAATAAAGTGAATACAGACATCCCTGTCTTGCTTCTGATCTTAAGGGAAACACTTTTAGTTTTTGCCAGTTGAATATGATGTTGGCTGTGGGTTTGTTGTATATGGCCTTTATTATGTTGAGATACGTTTCCTCTATTCCCACTTTGCTGAGAATCTTTATTATAAATGGGTGCTGGATTTTGTCAAATGAGTGCTGAATTTTTTCTGCATCTGTTGATATGATTATGTGATTCTTACCCTTTATTTTCATGTGATATATCACATTTATTGATTTTTGGATATTGTACCAACCTTGCATCCCCAGAATAAATCCCATTTGATCATGGCATATGATCTTTTTAAAGTATTGCTGGATCCAATTTGCTGATATTTTCTTGAGAATTTTTGCATCTATGTTCATCAGGGATAGTAGCCTATAATTTCTTTCCTTGTAGTGTCTCTATCTGGTTTTGGAATTAGGACTATGCTGGCCTCGTAAAATGTGCTTGGGAGTCTTCCCTTCTCTTGAATTTTTGGAATAGTTTGAAAGGATAGGTGTTATTTCTTCTTTGAGTATTTGGTAAAGTTCACCTGTGAAGCCATCTGGTCCAGGACTTTTGTTTGTTGGGAGTGTTTTGATTACTGTTTCAATTTCATTAGTTGTAATCAGTCTATTCACATTTTCTGATTTGTCATGATTTAGTTTTGGAAGATTATATGTTTTCAGGAATTTATCCCTTTTGTCCATATTGTCCAATTTGTTGTCATATAGTTCATAATATTTTCTTACGACCCTTTGTATTTCTTTGGTGTCAGTTGTTACTTCTCTTTCATTTCCGATTTTATTTATTTATTTATCTCTTTTTTTCTTGATGGGTCTGATTAAAGGTTGGTCAGTCTTATTTATCTTTTCAAAGAAACAGCGTTTGGTTTTATTAATCTTTTGTATTGTTTTTTTCAGTCTCTATGTCATTTATTTTCATGCTAATCTTTATTATTTCCTTCCTTGTACTCACTTTGGGCTTCATTTGTTGCTCTTTTTCTAGTTCCTTTAGGTGTAAAGTTAGATTGTTTATTTGAGATTTTTCTTACTTCTTGAAGTAGGCCTGTATTGCTATGAATTTCCCTTTTAGGACTGCTTTCTCTGTGTCCCATAGATTTTAGGTTGTTGTGTGTTCATTTTCATTTGTCTTAAGGTAACTTTTGATTTCTTCCTTGATGTCATTGTTGACCCATTCATTGTTTAGTAACATGTTGTTTAGCCTCCATGTGTTTGTGTGTTGTTCATTTTTTTTCTTGTGATTGATTTGTAGTTTCATACCATTGTGCTTGGAGAAGATGCTTGATACAATCTCAGTCTTCTTAAATTTATTGAGACTTGTTTTGTGTCCTAACATGTGGTCTATCCAAAAAAATGTACTATGTGCACTTGAAAAGAATATAATCTGCTGCTTTGGAGTGAAATGTTCTGAAGATATCAATTAAATCCATCTAATTTAAGACACTCGGTGTCCAGGGTTTTTCTGGGGGCTGGTCACATAGGCAGCCTGTGTCCGGCATGTACCAAAATTCCAGACTCCCTGAAGGAAAACAGGTATTCGGCATAAACCATATGATTTGTGTAAACAGTTAGGCATAATGAACCACTCTTATAATTTCTGAGACCAGTAGGAAGCCTCCTGAACCCGAGTACCCAGCCAAGGGCCAGCCTTGTAAGCAAGACTTTGTAAGGATAGCTAGCAGTCAGGCCTGCTAGATTAACTCTTTTCTGCACACAGGTATTAACAAAACTGCCATTTAAGCATAGAACAGGCTGTGGAATAGGAATAACAAAGCACATGGAATAGTGGATCCAGTCTGAACAGACCAGATTTCTTGCCAGGATTCCCAAAACCTGGAAACTTCTACAACTCTAGACCCAGAAAGTGTTCCAGGGAAGTAGAGTTCTGGCCAAATAAGTTTGAGAAATGTGGTGTGCTTGCTCTGCCCTCCTCTGAGAGGATCTACACATTTGCATATTAGAAGTATGAGAAAGTCTCTAATATGGAACACTTAAATTTTGTTTAACTCAGTGTTACTCTTCTTAAATTTAGTGGGAAGCCCCTCCCCCCTTACATCCTCGTTTGGGAAACACTACCCTACCCCATTGGTTGAGGATACCTGCCATTTCCCTGGGAAAGAGAACGGACCTCTGCTAGCCATCCAATCTCTTGTGTGAGCATTATATGTCACATATATGTATGTGACATAAACTATATGCAGTTCTTATTGCAGAGTGTGGGCTCAGTCATTTTCAAAACTCTGTCCTTTGTACAAACCCTAGTCAGAGATCCTGCTGAACACTGTGTGTAGAGGCATGAACTCTACAGAGAGAACATTGGTTAACAAGGTTCGTCTCTGGTATGTTGTTCATTAGTAGAGGCAATGTTATGCTGAATATTTACTAAGAAAAGTAAAATGGTAACTTAGTCACGTGTAGCATTTTTGGGTTACCACTTTCCTGGAAAACACTATATATTTGAGCACAACTTGTGTTGCTTTCTAAGTAGCCTTTCTCTGCATACTTGTAAAAGGTTTACTTATTTTTGCTAGGGTGTGTATAGCTTTGGGTCTCTGTGTTGATTTTACATGCATTACAGTGAGCCTCTCTGACTGGAGGTTGTGTTATTTTTTTTTTAATTCTGTTATGAGACTGCCAAAGCATAAGGTTGCTGTTGATAGTGAGGTTCTGGGCGTCAACTGGTGTAGTAGGTGAATGATAATGACCCTTGACCTCCAGATTTCTCACTTAGCCCCAACTTACTTTTGGGTTTCATATTCTTGTTCTGTGAACTTTTGAGGTTCTATATCTCTGGCACAATTTTCCTTAAAACTACAGTGATAAATTTGAGTTTCTAATGGTCAGTTATTTATATACATTAAAAAAACAAAAAAACTTACTTTGAAGAGGCTCAAAGCAGTCCCTTAATTCAGTTATGGTCCTTGCTTCCTTTCCCTTT